TAAACAGTTCTTATACTGCTTGAGTTCATTATAACAAGATCGATAAAGTCAGGGTTAGTGGATTAAATATTTCAAAACTCAATATCCTATAATACACATACAGCGGATAAGCAGAATTTTCTATAGCAAACAGGTAAACAAGTATGCTAGCCTTCAAGGTTAAAGATGACATAACACCCCACTGTTGTGCTTAAAGTAGCATCATCCCGGAGCATATGATAAACAAGCTACTCGATTAGTGAAGAGGCACCGAATATGGACGAGCCTGACAAGAAAGGACCTTCACCTCCAACATGGCTAATGTTCATGTTCAACATGTGTTACTGATAAATGTTTTCCAGCCTTTATCCGTATCTACTTAATGCAATGTAAAGGCCAGCCTAGTGCCATGTGTTCTCCAAGCTTCATGATAAAAACTCAAAAATCATTAATCTCTCAAGGTTCCTGCTGTTAAAAACTTATATCCCTTGGTTTTAGCTTTTAACTGAACCAAGGCTGAATTCAGTAATTTAGGGCTTCATGTTTCAGTGTATAATAGCCGATGGCTGCTTGCCTGCTCTGTGGAATGCTCTGTGTATCACAGTGCATTTAGCCGCATTCCTGAGGGTGTGAGACACAGCAGTGGAGGACCTGCCCAGGGACCCTCTGCTGGAAGAGGCGGGGCTGGGGTGGGGGGCGGACTGGGTCTGTGTGGCTCTTAACCTCTCTGCTGTACCACCTCCTGCTATGAGTTTTGTACCAGACAGTAATGGTTATGATCCTGATTACTGAGCCAAGGTCTAGTTCTAGACTTCTTCACCTTGTGGAATTTTCCTCTTTGTGTTTTTCATTAAGTACCTGGAAGCCTATGAAAAATTTAAAAAATCTTTTTAGTTTGGACCCTTTTAACAAAGAAAACTAGTAAAGGACTAGTTATTGTAAGTAAAAATAGGAGAACAATATAAACTATATCTTGTCTTCTAAATGGAGAATTGTAGTACTTAAAAGATGTAGATTCTCTATCTCTTTAGGGGGATGAGGAAGAATAACATTCAGACTTGCATCTTTTTTTTGTTTTTTTTAGAAGAAAAAGTTTAATCACTGTCTTCTAGCAATTCAATTTTCACTTTTCCTCCCGTCTCTTGCCCCCATTGTTGACACAATGTATCACTGCACTTTTTGAAAAAATGTATGGATAATATACAGCCGTTTCTGAAACTAAGCATGTGGTTATGTGTCATGGTCTGAGAGACAAGGGCACCATCTTCCCCAGGCAGAGAGAGTGTGTCCTTCCCTTTGGACTTGAGGATTGGCAGTCAATTACAAGTAAGCAAGAAGTTGGCCACTGGAAGTTCTCAGCGGAAGGCTCGGTGGTCACCATCATGGGGACAGACTCCTGGCTCACCCGTCCTTCTTGGAAGTGGGGGGCACTGCAGCAGCTATGTCCTCCTCTTCTGTTGAGGGGAAGTGATGGTGGTCCTCACCTTCTGGCTTCAGTTGACTCCTCAGCCACTCAGCTGAAGCGAGCATCAGAGGCCTGTGGCCGCAGGTACGATGCCCATTCCTGGGTGCCTCCAGCAGGTGCTGCTTCTGAGTCTTTGGGGTGAGCACACCATGTTGAGAGTGAGGCGGTGCGGCCCCTCTGCTCAGTTTTCCTTGGCTAGGGCCGGGGGTTTGCGGTTTGCTGACTGGACACGTATGTCATAGCCAGTTCGCCATGATCACCAACTGTCCAGCTTAAAAGGAGAGAAAGAGCTTGTGTTCCAGATGAGTTTCAGGAAAGGCAAATAAAAGTAAGCTTGAGGAATACCAGATTCCTAATTAGATGAATTCACCCAGAAGCCATGCTTTGTTTGAACATGTTGCTTGTCTGTGGCACTAACAGCCAAGGGCACAGAGGAAGAAATCACTCCCAAGTCTGCTCATTTCCCTGATGACTAAAACACGATTTATTAGTGAAACAATAGTATAACAAAAATACTAGTATAATTTAAAAAGTTGTCTTGCTCCCCTTAGAACCACTCATTTCATTTCATTTGGTGACTCTCTTCCCAGTCTTTGTCCACATCAATTCCTGTTTCATACTCCTCTAATTAAAGAAACAGGTGTCACAAGCATTGTCCGTATTGCCACAAGCACTACTTGTGGTTCTGGTTTCAAATGGCTTTTTGACATCCCATTAGGCAAAGACTTGTATTTGACTGAACCACTCCCCTCCGTTGGACAGTTAGATTGTTGGTCACATCCCTTCACCCTTCTAGGTTATGTGTCCCGAAGCGGTCGACTCTGGACAACACTCGTCATGGAATAGGATGAGTATGGTGGCGTGGTGGTTAAGAGCTATAGCTGCTAACCAAAAGGTCAGCAGTTTGAATCTACCAGCCGCTCCTTAGAAACTCTAGGGTGCAGTTCTACTCTGTCCTGTAGGGTCACTATGAGTCGGAATCGACTTGACATCAATGAGTTTTTTAAACGGAGGATGAATGTGAAGAACTTGTATTATGTGCACTGCCTCTTGTAGCAAATTAGTTAAAGGGCTTATTGGACTTCGAGAGTTACAGAGTCTTTGTTTTCAAAAAGTCAAGTGTTTCCAAAATGTTCCCTGATGACAAGTGTCTGTCAACTGTAGGTCCCTAGGAGATATTTAAAAAAAAAGAAAAAATCTACAGACAGTTCTCTCATCAAGCTAACAACGATGCTTTAGGAAAGAACTAGAGAGTAGCTGCTCTTCAAGGAATTTGTATTACAGAGAGATCTTTTTTTTTTTTCTGAGCATAAGAAAATATATAAATTCTATTTTATTGAGTATAGATGATAAAGCTTATAGAAAATAATATGTAGCTTAAATGATACTTCTATTGGTGCTGATCTAGGCAATGGAAATAAAATAAGTAAGGGTATAAAATGTTCCCAGTCGGTTGAATGCTAGCAAGGTAGCAAAGAGAAAACCTAGTGGGAGGGGTTTATAATGGTCAAGTCGACAGCAAATCAAACTGCATTCTAAAAGCCTGGGTAATGACCATTGGAGAGACTGTTTTGAAAACAGATGTTTTTCATTGTTTCCATCATTATGTGATTTTTGTTGCCAAAAATGATGTGGGCAGGTCATTTATTAAAAACTCTCATATCTCCACCCTTAACCTGGGAATGGAGTCCTTGGGTGGTGTAAATAAGTAAGCACTTGGCTGCTAACTGGAAGGCTGGAGGGTCAAGCCCACCCAGAGGCACCTCGGAAGAAAGGCCTGGAGATCTACTTCTGAAAATCGAGCCAGTGAAAACCCTATGGAGCACAGTTCTACTCTGATACATATGGGGTCACCATGAGCCAGCATCGACCCGACAACAATTGGTTAACCTGGGAACAGTGTTTTTCTAGTCTGTTTAAGTCTTTTAAGTGAAAATTTCAGTGGCTTTTGAACCAACATATGAAAACACAATACCTTCTAATCAGTTGCAGGAGCCACTATTTGATGTCAGAGGAAATGGAACTTTACTAGCAAAATTCCTCAAGATTTTTTTGCATCCTTGGTAGATGGAAGTGGAAAACATCTCATGTGTCACCAGTGGTGAACATCTTCCGTTTGGGTCCACATTATCTCTGGGAGGGATCTTTGTCAGCTCTACCAGTGGGTCAGTGAATAAACTGAACCCGGAACTGGGCTTTCCACTGGGGGAGTTTCTTGGGCCAGAGGCAGTCCAGGTATCTGTGGGAGTCTGGATGTCTCCTCCTGCTTGGTTCTGGTGGGCGCGGGGGCAGGAGGCGCCATATCTGATGTGTGAGCGCTGGCCTGGGGAACACGTGTCCACAGTGCTTCCTGGGGCCAGGCAGGTTTCACCATGCCGCTCAGTGGGATTACGTGTGAGCAGACCAGATTCACAGTCAGCGCTCTGGGGCCAGAGCAGGGCTTCAAACCATTTGTTCTGGTTCGACCCCCTGCTGAGAATTTGCATTTCTAACAAGTTCCCAGGAAGTTATACATAAAAATCACCTGGGGGATCTTGTTAAACTGTAGATTCGGATTCAGTATATCTGGGGTGGAAATATAAATTCTCAGCAGGGAACTTGTTAGAAATGCAAATTCTTAGCAGGTGTCTGGACCAGAATGAATGGGTTGAAGCTCTGGACCAGAGGTAGCACCGGGCAGTCGGGGGTACGTGGGAGCCACAGACCCCATGTTCTGTGCTGAGGGTAGAAAGAAGGCTCCCACCTGAGTCTGATCCTCTTCAAACTACTGGTATCTAAAGTTTAGATAGCTTACCTCCCTCCAAAAGACCGCAGTAATGAAAAGACTTTTCCCAATGCGTATATATATGCACACACAAACATTTGCACAATGCCCACAAGCGCTGTGCAGTAGTTTTAGGATAGACATGGAAAGCACAAGGACCATCCGGAGTCCTGGAGAAGCAATGAGACCCTGATGGTCCACACCACCCTGTCCATTCCAGGGCTCGGGCTGCTGTGATACTGTGCCCTGTCTCTCACTGCCCCGCGTCCTGCCGCCGCCACCTGCCACACTGTGTAGCAAGTCACCCATCGGTTATCATGCAGCGTGATCGTGAGATGGCTAATCCTAAAAATAAACCACTTTGGAGTAATCCTGCTTATGGTTTTTAGACTGCCAGATAAATAATCTACTGTATTAACTGTGCCGCCTTGGAGATGTTTCTTAATCTCCCTGAGCCTTGCTTCTTCATCTGTAAGGTGGGCTTATGTTGCTCGTGTGGCTTAAATGAGCTAATACCGGTAATGCCTGCAGAGCATGTACAAGATGGCATTCTTGGCTCCGTCTAGCTTAGCCTTGGCGGGAGTGCAGTTAATCAAGGGGTGGGAGGTTGGCCAGGGAATGAGGGTGAATGTTGCTGCTGTTGTGCTTCCAGAAAGTTTCCACTTGGGCCACACTAAGGCCTGGTGGGCTGCGTCTGCCCGTGGGCTCCACACCCGGTGACATTTTAGTTTTAAGATATTCATCTTGTGGTCTAAATATTTTCTAAGCCTCTCTTCTCTTTTTCTGTTGTAGGGACCCAGCTATTTAGCGGTCAAAGTGACTTTAGGATCACTACCTTGAAATTTCATCCAAAAGACCACAACCTTTTTGTCTGTGGAGGCTTCAGCTCTGAAATCAAAGCTTGGGACGTAAGGACAGGCAAGGTAACTGTATCTTCTTTGCATCCACAGGACAGCCCCTGGACAATCTGAAGAGTGGGGGCAGGCAGCATCTATACATAGGACCCTTGAGATGGAATAATTATCACTTAGTATTTAATCAGTGCTACGTGTAATTGTTAGCTGTTTCAAAAGAACATTCTTGACTGGTTAGACTATTAAAACATCATAGGCGCAATTCTGCACAGCACGTTACTAAAAATATTTATTGAACCTACTGTGTGTAGCTGCTGCCAGATGGTACAAAATGAATCAGCCTGGGGTTAGTCAAGGGAATAAAGTGAGGATACAGACAAGTCTGGTACAGGGAAGTGCGGTGTGTGTGGTGTGCACGTGTGTGTGTGTTTGTGCCGTATGTGTGAGTGTGTGTGCATGTGTGTGTGAGCTTGTGTGGGAGTGTGTTTGTGCGTCTGTGTGCACATGTGTATGTGTGACTGTGTGAATTTGTGGTGTGTGTGTGTAGGCGAGCGAGTATTCAGAGGGGTGAGTGCTTTCAGCTGGGTGAGGGTAAGTCTTAGTGGGTGAGTTTGTTGTGTATGTGTGTGTGTGCATGTGAGTGTGTGTGTGTGTGTGTGGAGGTGAGTGGGCACTCAGAAGGATGAGTGCCTTCAGCTGGGTGAGGGGCAGACTTAGTGGAGGCATGTTCCCCTTGAGGCTTAATGTCTGGTCATGGGCATTCACGTGGAGAGCGATTTCCACCCCAGCCTCTGCCTCAGCCTGCTGCTGCCGCTGCCTTCACCAACTCAGTCAACGGCGACTCCATCCTTCTAGTTGTTCAGGCCAAAGTGTCAGAATCGCCCCGTCTTTCTTCTTCCTGTGAAACCCCACATCCAGTCCACCAGGGACACTTGTCCCTCCACCTTCAGCATACGGCCACTTCTGCCATCTCCTCTGCTGCACCTCTGGTCTTAGCCGCCATCATCTCTGACTGCGATAAATGCAGCTGTTTCCTGTCTGGTGTCCCCCTCTTCCCTTTTGTGTTCTCAGCCCAGCAGCCGGAATAGTCTATTTAATGTGGTCAAATGTGTTGCTGCTCTGCTCAGAGCCCTCCAGGCTCCCATCTCACCCACAGTCGAAGCTAGTGCCCCTACAAGGCCCGCACAGCCTTCCCCCGGCCCGCTGGCCTCCTTGCCTTTCCTGAATGCACCAGCACGCTCCTGCCTCAGGGCCTTTGCACTTGTGGCTCCTTCCACCTGGAATGTTCTTTTTCTAGTTTTCTCTGCAGAGACTTGCTCCCTCCCTTCTACAGGGCTCTGCTCAAATGTCACTGTTCCACCGGGACCTTCCCTGACCACAGTATGGGCCCCTGGCATTCAGTAGTCCCTCTGCTCAAATGTCACTGTCCCATCGGGACCTTCCCTGACCACAGTATGGGCTCCTGGCATTCAGTAGTCCTTCTGCTCAAATGTCATGGTTCCATCGGGGCCTTCCCTGACCACACTGTCGGTCCCTGGCATTCATTCGTCCTCCATGCGACCCTATTTCTCCTTGTAGCCTTATCACCACCCAGTATACCGTGGGTTTTACTTGTTTATTTACTTGTCTGTCTCTTTGCACTTGAATATAAGCTCTCTGAGGGCAGGGATTTACATCAGTTTTGTTTGCCACTGGCTTCTAGTCCTGACCCGTGCCTGGCACACAGTAGGTGCTCAGTAAGCCTTTGCTGAATGAATGAGCGAGTGAAAGCAGAAGGCAGCCACGTGAGTGTGCAAGCATGGGAGGTGGGAGTACGCGATGTGTGAGGGGACCAGTGATCCTGTCCATGTGGCCAGGCGTGGGGCCCAGGCAGTGAGTGGGTCTGGGTGGAGAGGCTTTGAACACCGTGCATCTTGGTTTGGATTAGTGTGGGAGCCATGGCAGGGTTTTGAGCAGGGACTGCTGGGATCAGGGCTGAGGAGGGGCTCAGGGAGGGAGAGTGAGCCCCCGGCCCTGGTGGCGGCAGAGGAGATGGAGGGGTGGGGATGCTGGCGAGGCTCGCCAGGGGAGGAACCACAGGCCTGAGTGTGTGAGGGGGCCCAATGACTCTAGGACGACTTGTCAAGATCTGAGAAGTGCTGCCCTGGTCTGAAGGAGGCACACAGCCACTTGAGTTCTATGGGGTAGTTCATGTAAAACCTGCATGACCTTGACCTTGGAAGAAGAAAGTGAGAGTGTCAGAGAGTGTCCTCCTCCATCTGGGAGGTGAGCCTGCGTCCAAGGCCTCGCGGACTCACCATGGTGTGTCTGTATTGCCAGCATCCGGCTCCCGCCCCGGCCCTGGGCGGGCCGCCTCCCAGCAGGTCTGTGCTGGGCAAGGCTGCTCCACACTGTCAGGATGGAGCAGACTTGAGAGGAAGCCTCCGAGGCCTAAAGTCGAGTCTCCCATCCACACCTTGGCCCAGTCTCGTGGGAGGTGCCTTCCCATCTGGTTGTTGAAAGGGGGCTGCTGGTTTTGTAGGAGAACCTAAAACAGAGACCCTTTTCTTTAAAGAGAGTCCCTGGGTGGTGCAAATGGTTAACATGCTTGACTTCTAGTTGAAATTTTGGAGATTGAGTCCACCCAGAGGTGCCTCAGAAGAAAGGCCAGGTGATCTACTTCTGAAAAATCCATTGAAAACCCTACGGAGCATAGATGTACTCTGACACACACAGGGTTGCTATGAGTTGGAGTCGACTGAAGGCAACCGGTTTGGTTTTGGCTTTCTTTTTTTTTTTTCTTTTAACGACAGCAGAAAAGCTTCCTTTAAAGAAGCTTTGTTGGTAGATAAGATCTTGCTTCAAGTTCTTCCCAGGTGAGAGAATTCGAGCACAGATAGAGGTGCTCTTTTAAAAAATCACATGCTTTTCTTTTACAAAGACATTTTTTACAATAATATTTGGAAAAGAGAAAAATTACCCTTAAGGAAGCGGATACAGTGGACTTTTCAAAGAGCGTTAGAACTTTTAATTTGGGGGGTGAGTGTTGGTAAGTGGATGAGAACATGCGTAAATGCTGCAGGGGTGGGTACCTCTTAGTCATCCATTTGGAGAGGGTCCACCTGATTACCAGCCCTCCTGAGGCCGCGTCCCTGAAAGGTGCGCTTACTGTTTTTAGCCTCAAAGACCAAACACGTAAGCAATTACTCACCAAGGGCGCCATCTGATTTCAGGGTTTGTTAAAAATATCGGTTTTTCTTCAACGGCAGACGCCAGCTGACGCGCTCTGAGAATGTGGGGGGAGAAGCAATTAGAAGCAGATGTTGCTGTGACTGGTATTGGCATGTTTGTGAGCTTCTCCCAAGCTAATCATGTGCGGGAAGGGATCTGTACGATATTTGTTTTTACTTCCATTTCACCAACAATCTGACGGCCTCTCGTCCCCCACCGGGTCACAGGGCTTGTTCCATTGGCATCAGCCAGCCTCAGAGGACAACGCTCTTTCCTGCTTCAATTACGTTGCCTTTGACAGATGTTGTCCGAGTGTCCCCTGTGGGCTTGGCAGGAGAAGCAGAGAGGAAATGTGGGCTCCCTGCCCTCAGGGGACCCCCAGCCTGGGCTCTCCCCCTTCTGATCCACTCAGCTCTACCCCAGGAACACTGAGCTACAGCTGGGCTCGGGGCTCTGTCCATGGTGCTGACCCCCAGCCTCGCCAAGAGCGTGTACGCTCAGCTAGGGGTGAGCAGCCTGGCTCTTTCTGTCTGCCTTCAGGGGCAGTAGTGAGGACCACAGGTGGTGGACGCAAAGGGGCACTGACCTGAGCTTAAAATCAAGACAATGCTCCCCTTTTAAATAAACTGGGGAGAATGCTTTGTTATAAAAGTAATATGTCATCATGAAAGATTTGGAAAAGACAGAGAAATAGAAGAGGTAGTCCAGCCAGCCAAAGGTAAAACTTCAGTAACATTTTGATATTTTCCCTTCACTGTTCTTTCTCCTGTATTTAAAAAAAAACTTATTTATTTTGTTGTTGAGAATATATATAGCAAAACACACACCAATTCAACTGTTTCTACGTATACAGTTCAATGACATTGATTATATTCTTCTAGTTGTGCAGCCATTCTCACACTCCTTTTCTGAGTTGTTTCTCCGCCGTTAACACATGGTCACTGTCCCCTAAAGTTCCTATCTAATCTTTCGAGTTACTGTTGTCAATTAGATCTTAAAAGAGCATAGTGCTCACGGCAGGCATTTTTTACTAATTAAGCTAAACTGTTGTTTCGTTTTAAGACTTCAGGGGATATTGTTGGATTGAATTTAAAAAAAAAAAACATCGCTAGGATCTTATTTTTATACACAATTTTGTAGTGTGTTTCACATCCCATTATAAGGGTTTTCCTTGTCGATGCCAAGTCTTGTAAAGGCTTTTAGTAGCATTTCTTTGACTCCTTAGGCCTCCCCGCCTAGCCCCCAGCACCCAGCAAAGTGCCAGGCATAGCAGCCACTCTGTCAATATCTGTACATCAAGTGAATCAGATAAATGGCTGCTTTAACTTATAAGTCATTTCTCCATGTGGGACAGTTGGGATATTTCAGATTTTTTTTTGCCATTTAAAATCAATAGATGTGAAGGTAGAGATTAGAGATCAGCAAACTAAAGCCGAAGGCCAAACTGGCCTGCCATCTGTTTTTGTAAATAAAGTTTTATTGGAACCCAGCATGCTCCTTTGTTTACATGTCATCTATGGCTGCTTTCTCACCATATGGTAGAGTTGAGTAGTTGCGTCAGAGACTGTATGGCCCAGAAAGCCCAACGTGTGTACTCTCTGGCTGACCCGTGGTATGTGCAGATTTGGCTGTGATGTCTGTCACCCTGTTGGTTGCTGGGACTGACCCTCCTGCTGTGGCTGACAAAGTGGGTGTCTTACCCCATTATGAACCTCCCTGTGAGCTCATCATCGTTGTCAGTTACTGCTGAGTTGATTTTGACTCATGGCGACCCCATGTGTGCAGAGTAGAACTGCTCCATTGGGTTTCAAGGCTGTGACCTTTTGGAAGCAGATCGCCAGGCCTGTCTTCCGAGGCAC